GCCCAGACAGGTGAAGAGGGGAGGTCAAAGGTGAAGCAGGGCCTGCAGAGGCCATAACCCTGCCCTGGCCGCCCCCTTGCCTCTGAGGGGTTATTTCTCCAAATGACTGAGCTTAATTAAGGGCTTTAGTCCTTCAGCTGAAGAGCAAGACACAGAGTAACTGAAGTATTATGACACCACTCACAGCCACTTGGGGCTCGCTCACATGCTGTATCATAAGCAGCCTGAGGCTCTCCTTTCCATGAATGTTGAATCCCCTCAATGATGTTCTAGGCAGCTTGAGGGGAGGAGCTCGGCCCCTTATGTCTGAAGGATCTCCCCTCAGTGATGATATTGCCCCTAAAGCTAGGGAAGGTGGTCCCGTAACACCAGAGTTGTCTCGTGTGTATCAGGAAACGTGGGCAAGCTCGAGCTGAGTCTGCACTCACTGGGGAGAGGTGCTTTCAAGGATCAATCCCATCAAGCTGCTGGACAAGAGGGGGAACGTCGGGAGGGAGTGGAACACTGTCTGCCATGCATTCTGAAGGTGGGCCCTGGTTTGGTTTCCCTCCCCTAGAGGCCCCTGTCATTCCCTGGACTTATGGATACAAAGCAGGTCCCAGCATGACAGTGTAGAAACAGGCCCCAAAATGTAAATGCACTTCATTTCCTCAGCCAACTGAGTACAATCCCTTCTGCAGACTGAAAAAGCAGCGCTTTTCCTCCCAATTACATTGTTCCCAGTTGTGGTGTTGAATTTTTAATTTCTAATAATATTACAGAAGGGCATGACTTTTTCATGCTTACAGAGGTGGCTGGATTTAAAAGTCTGGGAAATCCTTCTCTGGAATATGTCCTGTAAGATACTCCAACCATCAGAAATCACGCAGACGAAAGCAAATGCTCAATGTGCCCAGAGCGCTTCAGAGCTCTAGTTGCAAAATTCTGGCCACAGACACAGTGTCCAAGGTGGACTGAGAGGCAAAACTAGACAAAAGATTATTTTAAAAGCCTGGCAAGTTTGCAGGAGGCTAACACAAGATGCTATTCTCTGCACTAATAATTTACAAACCAGAAAATGGTTCTGAACCACCCGTCTCAGACAGCAAACGGATGTCCCATTTTAGTCACTTGAGCATCACCCCTGGAGCCTGTTATGGCTCTGTTGCCTCCAGCAACTACAGGACAGGCTGTCAAGAAGCAACAGCCCAGGCACTGAGCAGCAGCTCCTGGGGTGGGTGGGCTGAGGAGTCAGATGCTAAAGGCAATTTAACCACAACCCTGAGCCTCTAAGGCCTTCCCAGCACGTAAGCTGGGAGAGCTGAAGGCAGAGAGGCAGTATGGTTTCTGGCCCTGGTGGTGAAGGAGCAGCCAGAATCACCAGCCAGACTGTACTCAGGTGGGACAATCTGGGGGCCCTGGCATTTTCTAGCAAACTCACTTCATCAATAGCATTGCAAATAACAAAGGGTTTGCACACAGAGCTCACTGATTTAACTTCTGACTGTTCCCCTGGGTTCTCGTTTAAGGCCCCTACAAGAGACCAGCCCTTTTCCCCTAGAAATCTGTTCACCCATAGAATGAGGTCGACTGTTAAAACTTGAATATTTGGACATAAAAAACCACAAACTTACTAGAGCGCTTTTTCAATATAATCAATTCATACATAAATGGAATGAGGTGAAAGCAAATCACAACTGAGGCACTGACACTAGTTTTTGTAGTTATTTAACTTTATTATATTTTAAATTTTGAGAACTGTAAAACATAGTATTTGTATAAACACCTGAGGACTGTTCAGCTGGACACAGCACTTTCACTCAAACAATTTGAGAGAAGACTAAGTTTAAATTAGAATTTTATCTTATAACACAAAAGAAATAACATAGGTGAAACCACCTTTTAAATAGCTGCATTCTGGTATAAAGTACATTTGGTTTTCTAAAAAAATAAAATGTACATTCTTGCCCCTGGTACATATTTCATTGGCATTTTCAACAAGTGGCTAATACGTTTAGCACAAATTCTCATAGTTTATAAACATTACTCCAAAGTTATACAAAGTAATAAGAATAAACATATAGCACCACTTCCCCCTGAAATTTCTACTTTAAAATTAAAGCACAAATGGTAAGTCAGAATTAATTCATCTTCCAAAATTTAGCAGAATAAATGGCTCAGAACTAAGCAAATTAATTAGAAACATTGCATAGGACGGAGAACTTCCCTGTATGGAAACCAATCTATGAATTGTTTCTTATCCCCTGAAGACTAAGCTGAGAGGTACTAGTGATAGCAAATGATGAACATATTTTTTTACAGAATAAAAACGTCTAATTATATAAATAGTTTATCATTACCTCTGTGGCAGTGTAAAGTGCCATATTAAGATACAAAAAGAACAGATTTACTTCTTTGTATACCTACAGGTATAGAATAATATATAAATATTGTATAGTATCCATATGAGGAATAAACACAGACAATAAAATATATATCTTTTAAAATTTTGGGCACAGTTGTCTTCAAATAGAGATGTGAGAAATGAATGCCTACTTATGTTAAGTTTTAAAATAACAGGTATTCCATTAAAAAAAAATTAACCAGATTCCATCCAAGCCACCCTTGTAGTATATCTCCTGCATAAAACAACTATTCTATCTACCCTATAATTGTTTGAAGTTTATCAAAAACTGGTAAGAACACTTTATGAAAGCTTATAAAGTTACTTTTACCTTTAAATATGAAGAAATACAACATACAGAGAAAGAATAACAAAATGAAAATAATTTATATGGCTATTCCGTTTCTGGAAATGGGTAGAACACAAACAGAACACTGCTATAACAGAATACAGAACACTGCTATAACAGACAAAAAGTATTTGAGAAAGAGATGATGTCTGCAGTTGTATCTTTAAATTCTCTTCTAAGGAAAACCTCTCATGGGTTTCATTAGAGAACTTGTTAATCCCTGATACTTTCTCCTTTGGGATTTAGCTGTTTTAGTTCTATACATAAACATTAACTGAAATCAAAGGTGTTTCTGTTTCCTACAAGAAGTATACATGTAAACTGTATGATAAAATAATAAACTATCAAATAATAAAAAGACATAAAGAAGTTGCCAATTTGAATATGCTAATACTAATACATAAAATGGTATTTAAAGAAACAGACTGGACTGTAATGTAGCTCTGCAATTCTGCGTATAACAATCTTTTTAGGCACTGTCTAGAAAACTAAAACTGCTAAGAGAATAAAAATATTTTTAGGTTAATAAATTATCAGGACAACTGAGAATTATGGCTAATCTAAACTTATACATTTTTAAAATTGTGTTTCCCTTCTTTAAGTTTTTCAATGTAGTAACATAACTTTAGAGCTGGCCCCAACTTCAGCCCCATATACTTCATTACAAGATCACTTTTGAGTAGTAGCAGAGCCTTTCCATCAATTTCCTACAGAGAGAAAGAAATTATAATAATTAATAATGCTTTCATATTTTGTCAAGTTATTTATATATAAGAACATGTAAAAGAGAGTAGCTGTACAATCCCAATATATATTCTCTAAATACACATTTATTCCCTGGGAACTATTTAAAATATAATATATAGTAAAGTATCATTTGATAATTTTTAAATTCACTTCAAATTTTAAGAAAAAGGAAATTTAACCCAGTATCTTAAAAAAATGGTCTAAGCATCAAACTATCTAATTTTAAATACTGTGTGTTGAATAAAATACTACATTATCTGTGACAAAGGGCAGAAACCTGTAAGTGGTAGAAATGAATTTCAGACAGTTGTTAATTTGCTTAGAAAGGCTGGGAAATTAGTATGTCAACATCAACACAAACTGTAAATGTGGTATACAGTGTTGTATTTATTTTGAAAGCTAATCAGTTCATTGTAATCAGTAATTTTCTTACAATATTGAAAAGGATACATGAGAAATTTGGTCACAAATATGATTTATTAGAAATTATTATAAACATTATTTAGTAGACATAAGGCATCCTCCTAAAATTCCTTATTTTCTTAATTAACCAACTTATGTCACAGAAGCATATTATTTGGTATTCCTAAAATAAAGCTGCACTTAATCTTATACAGTTGCTGAATTCACTGGGCATCATAACAAGATGGACACCCTGTTACAGCTTGTGGTCACCCCCTCCTACTCATGGTCCTGGGGCTGAGCAGGGAGCAGGTGGGGAGGAGGATCCTTGTAGCTGTCCTTACAATGGAAAAGACACCTAAGAGTGAGTGACCGTGCTGAATCATCTTCTCTTGAGAACTTGAAGATTTGTAGTATTTTAGGTACTCGAGTACACATTTAAAGCACAGATCCAGCCTCTATCACTTAAGGATCTAACTTTGAGCAAGGTAACCTTTCTCACATATAGAAAAATCAGTTGATAGGGTTCCCCACCATCCACACTAATCAGCATCCAACTGAAGAGCCTCCACAGAGGTCATTCAAAGGCAGGAAAACCGGATCAAAAGATACATTACATGTTGCCTGAAGAGGTCGGCGAGGGGGCCTGATATCTGAGGATCTTTATGTTTCATAAACTGTATCACTTCATCCACACACCAGGTTGAAGGGTCTTTAGAGAAGCCTTGCTTCAGGACACTGGGGTCAGGTACAGCTATATAACTTGGAGCTTCAATGGGGGGAAAAAAGACAAATCATACTTGACCTGATCATTTTCCTGAAAGAAGAGATGTTAAGTAGGGAGTAATGATCTCATTCCTGGAACCATCTGTTAGGTACCCCAGGAAGGACCCAGGACTCCAAGTGTAAAATTCAGTGAAAGCTTAGATAAAGATGACATGAGTATGGGTACCCATGAGTGTCCCATCTGACTGCCCACGAATGACAGCAGCAGCTTCAGAAGTTACTGTAAAGCTTCAAAGCTCATAAAACAGACTGAGCAATCCAAGGTCTCTTTGGTCACAGGCAAATACAGCAAAAGATCTGTTATTTGGGTTAAATTGGGTTAAACTAAGCTAATCTATTACTCTCTTTAAGTATTTCAATGAATTCCTCTTGTTGATCTGTCTAGATTGAGTTTATTTTACTAGTTAAATACAATGGAAATTCCCCAAATTTATAATTGCTTAAATTTATTCACTTTAACCAATGAATTTCAAAAAACCCGCTATCTTTGAAAAGAACTGAATTAGTTCTTTTGCTAAATCTCTGCCATGTGGACATGCCAAAATAAACATTTTTAGCATTACTTTATTCTTTAAACTCCTGTCTCACAAAGCTCAAATGCTTATCTGAATTTTGAAGAAAACAATATTATTTTCTGCTTAGCTAGGTCAGAAGTAACTTTAATATTATATTGAGGTATTTAATATTGAATACCTCTTTCAAGTTTAAATGCATAGTAACAGATATTTTGGTTGAAGGTTTTTATGTTGAAAAAATATGTAACTGAGACATGAAACAATTGAAATGCTCATACCTCAAAAAGTTTTAGCTGTGATGTTCACTAAGTCATACTGAAATTTCTGTGACTAGACAAGTGTTCATTTTCTCAACCAGAGCACTCAACTCTCTATAGTGTGTAATAACAGAAGTGGGTTTTTATTTTTTTTAATTGAATTTATTGGGGTTACATTGGTTAATAAAATTATATAGGTTTTGGATATACAATTCTACAATACATCATCTGTATATTGTATAATTTGCTAGGAAGATTTATATTGTGTCTCTAATCACAAACTGTCAATACAAATTTGACATTTTTTGCATGAATTAGCCAAAGGCGTACCTTTTTTTTTCTATTATCTGGACTCTGGCCACTTCAGGGACATTTTGAGTATTTACTTATGGCAATGGCAAAGAAAACAGAAGATAAAAGAACTTACAATGGTTAATTTTCTGTATGTGGCCTAGAATTTTATTTACTTTCTTTTTCAATATCACAACTTTGATATGAAATAAAATCTCTTTACTAAAATATATCTTCCTCTTCCACTTGTCAGAGATAAAAATGTTGGTCATACCTACCAAGAAATGCTACTGAGCTGAATCAACTGAGGTAAAAATGATGACGGTGCAGACCATGTCATGCCTAAGGAATTCTCATAATTTAGACAGAAAAGTCTTTAACTCAAGAAAGATTCAATTTAACATACATGTATTGGCAAGGTGACTCATACCACCAAATTAACTTACGTTTTGTGGTATCTCTAGTTTCTGTCACAGAATCTGATATAGTTATGTCTTGTTTCTTTTTTTCCATTTTTAATTTACTAGCACTTCCAGTGTTTTAGAGTGATAAGGGAGTTTCAGTGATCTTACATGATGAATGGGACAAAAGATGGACTTATGATATACTGAACAAATGTCTAAACTGAATCAGATTACTGGTGTAGTTTTTCAGTCTATTGGTAATGTGAGGCAGTTTTCCAACCAAGCAATCCAGTAATTCACAGGGGGAATACAGTTATGTATTTTTTGTTGTTGTTGTCCATTTCTGTTTTGTTTGTTCATTTATTTTTTTTTTTATATTCCACATGTAAGTGAAATCATATGGTTTTTGTCTTTCTCTGTCTGACTTGTTTCACTTAGCACAATACCATCCAGGTCCATCCATGTTATTGCAGATGGTAAGATTACATTTTTTTTTTTTATGACTGACTAATATTCCATTGTATATATGTAAACTTGAATAACATGTAGCTAGTTTTACAGATTACTACAGATAAACTATAAGTAAAGATATGATTTCTGGTATAAAACTGTAATATTATATTAAAACAGAACATCTATAAGAGCATCTATTTTTAATCTATTATGGAAAAATAATTCACTTAGGCCCGTATCTTTGAAAGAATCAGAAAAGGTTGCAAACATTACATTAGTGTTATTTAAATAATTATGTGAAACAAACTAATTATGTAAAAAAAGAAAAAAAGTCCAGCCATGTTTTTTTTTCTGAATAGCTTTGTCTTGCATATACTAGGATATCAGTAAATATTTCTGAAATAAAGTGAAAGTGATTTGATTTTATCCTCAACAATGTTACTGAATTTCTTTCCTATAATAAAAATCAACTATTTCATTCAAACAATGGGGCAGGGCAGGAGTTTGTGTGAGCATCACCAGCAATCAGGGGTAGATTCAGCTTTAAGTAACAGTTCCAATACCTTAAAGAAAAGAATAGTAATGACACCTCTAGACAGCTTCCAAGTGAAATGCTTACCTATTCTCTGGAGATATGAGCAGCACAGCAGTTAAGAGTATGAACCTGGAGCCAGAGTGCCTGGGGTCAACACTGGCCCAGCTACTTTCACTTTAGTTAAGTGAATACTCAGATTTTTCACCAGCACCCTACATCTCAAAAAATTATTATAAAGATGTAATGTATAAGGCTATGCAAAACATATGTGCCTGGCACATAATATCAGATAGTGATGAAGATACTGAAGATTTTTATTACTATTAAGTATCTACTAGTAAAGTAATGTTATTACTGTCTTTCTGCTCCTAGAAAGATCAGCAAATAGCCTTCTCAAGCCCAAATACAGGCTATTTTGGCATGGTAGTGTTAGGAACACATTTGGAAGTAAACTATTCAGCATTAGAGGCAACCTTTCAGAGCCTTTTACTAAGAAGGCCTGTCTCTGAAAGCTCATATTCTGTGAAAATTCCTAAAAATTAAGGGTACACTACCTCTTTATAGAATAAACATCTATCTTCCTACTCTCTGCAAACAATGTCACTCTAAAAGCAGAGGCAATCTACACAGAGGAAATCTTTAGCATCTGTAGTGGCTTAGCCCTGACAGTCATGACTCAACTTCCTCAACTTGGCACTTTCTCCAATGTGATACTCTCAGGGGCTGTTACTGAACATGGAAAACTTAAGGGGAAAGAGAAACACACTGATTTAAAATCACTGTTTTTAAATATACCTTCACTGTTTTTCTGCATTTGGAATTCATGGGGACCGCTCTGGGGAGATGATGTATCCACTAGTGCTGAACCTGAGGAGACTGGCACACCACCAGGAAAATTCTTGGAGACTGCGGTATCAGTGATTATAGGATCTCCACTGGCAGGATTCAAAGAATTGTCTGGATTTAGTGGTGAGTCCTTGGTAATGCCTTTTCCCTCAGAAGACAAACGTTCTTCTATAAGAAAAAAGACAAATGTGATTATCTTCAAAAGACTTACAGTTCAAATACTATTAAGAGGTCAAAAATCTCCTAATCTCCAATAACAGTGCACTTAACCCATGCTATAATGAACCACAAATCTTTACTACAAAATATATGGTCATACCTTCCTTGGTATTTATAGTAATGGACACTGTCCTGATACCAAAATTTATTCTATGACATCACCTACAATTCTCACGGCAACAATCCCTTACCAGACCTTCCACCAAAGCTATTAACTCCTCACTAAAGTATTCACACAACTAATCATCAAACTATTTGTTATAATATGATCACACAATTGGTTTCTAAAATTCGCTTACTACTTGGGCACTTAAAACTTTCACTGGATAGGAAGACAGATCTCAAAAGGAAGAGGGGTGGGAGGACTGGAAGAAGGCTGGGGGAGCAGGGGGTGGATGGAGAAGAGGAAAGGGGGGTGGAATGGGGGACATCTGTAATAGTGTCAAATAAAAAAAAGAGACTTAAACCCCCCAAAAAAGAACTAATCGACAAATTCTGTAAAGTTGCAGGATTGGAGAACTTTAAAAAAAACACACATGGTGACTGCCACAGGGAAGAAGGGTAGCAGGAGGTAGAAGGAAAAGGGGGTATGAACGGTCATGTAAGAAGAATTGATCTGGGGTGGTAAACATATAATACAATATACAGAAGAACTATTACAGAATTGTATAACTGACACCTGTATACTTTATAAATCAATGTCACCCCAATAAATTCAATTAAAAAAACTTTCACTGGAGAAAGGTACAAGGTTCTATTCCTCTTTCTATCAGCTTTTAGCAGTTAAAGCTGAATGAAAATTTTACAGCAATTGTTTGTTTTTAATATAAGTGGAAAAAACAACTGTGTCTTTCAGAAGGGAATCAAGTCCTCAACAAAGCTGTGAAAAAAATAGCTTACTTGCCAAATAAATTACGAAAATATACACCCTACCCTCAACACCACAATCCAAGAGCATAATCATTTATAGATTATGGTGGTATAGAATTACTTTTCTTCTCTGTCCTGAGGCATGGAAACACTATTTACCTTGAGAGGCATGCATCTCTGTTTTGCGGAACTTAGGAGAGAGAGGAGCAGCATCAGAGAGAAGTTGATGAGAAGGTCGCTTAGTAGTTTGTTTTTTGGTTACCTCTTCCTCAACTGTTGTTTAAAAAAAAGTGTTGGTTATAACTAAGATATTCTACATTGTCATATCATCGGCATAAAGCGCTTATTTCTAAGGCATTTTTAATCTATGACTTCATAACAATTTATAAATTATATAATAGTGTAAGAAAAACATGTGCATTTCATTTTATTAAATATTTTAGTTAAATCATGTTCAAGAGCTGAAATCATTATGTCTTGGGTTTATTTATTCTAGGGCCATGGCATATCTGTAAAGATCTCAGGAGGCAGGAAGGCAACCAATAATAATGTGTCTAAAATGTGTTCCCATGAGCAAGAAAAGTTCAGAATTCAGAGGAGTTAAGCAAAAGATAGGGTACAATGAACAGCCCATTTCACAGGCAACATCGCTGGCCTAGAGCTGCCATTACAACCACTCTACTGGTTACCTATCATTCAACCAAATGCATTTCTAGCTGAAGGGCCACTCTTTAAGGCATGATCCTAAAAGAAAAGACAACTCAAATTATCAATTACATTCTAAATATTAATCCATATCTTGATTTAATCTAAAACTCAAAGGAAAAAGACACTATGATAGAAATCTTCAAAGTCTGATAATAGACCTTAAGTGAGAACAACCAAGGTCAAATTTCACTTGGTTCTAAATGGTTGGGGGCGAAGGTATGCCTCTCAAAATCATCTCATAAACCACCTTTAGCCATCTAGTCATTGACTGACTACTGACAAATCTAAGAAAGTTATTACTACTTGATTTTATTTTGAATCATGGACTATAAAACCAAGGGGCAAAACATATTTTAGGAAATGAAAAATATTTCTAAAATTACAACATTTAAATGAGAAGAAAATTAATAATTGACATTCTCATACCCATTTAATGACACAGAAAATTTGAATACAAGTAGAGTTCTGCATAGGTATTTATTTTCCTCAGAATCTTAGCGAGATTAGAAAAAGTCTTTAGTTCTCTTTTACTTGTAATACTTTCTGTATGAAAAGTTTATGAAACTGGTGTATGGTCTACTATCTGGTGCTGCTACAAACATAACATTGACTCTTGATTTTTGCAACTGGGTATTACAACAACCTCAAGCTGAAAACTGTCCCTGCAGAGATAACTAGAAAGGTCCAGATAATCTTTTAAATTACCATTTAAAAAGCCATCATGGAGAGGGACTTCCAAGGCGGCTGATTAAGAAATTATTAAAATCCTGGCTTTCATCAAAATAATGAAAACACTAAAAAAATCTGCTTTTCCAAAACTCTGGAAATTAACTAAAGGATTACAGCAATCCAAAAATCATTTATTCAGCAAAAAGTGACTAGAGTCAAGAAAGAATGGGGCCCAGCTGGGCGTGGCTCAGCGGTTGAGCGTCAACCTAGGATCCAGGCGATCAGGGTTCGATTCCCGGTCAGGGCACATGCCCGGGTTGCGGGCTTGATCAATGACTTTCTCATCATTGATGTATCTGTCTCTCTCTCTCTTCCTTTCCTTTCCTCTCTCTGAAATCAATAAAGATATATTTTTTTAAAAAATGGGAAAGTCAATGGCATTTTAATATCCCTAATACCCTGCCCTTCATCTAAGTTTTGGAATAGACTTGCAAACAAACACCTTTGCAAGTATACTAGCTATGAAAACCAGCAGCCTAGCCATCACTGGAGAGGACAGGATGAGTTAGGAGCTCTATAACAGCCCCAACCCCAGAGAACTATCTCAATTTGAGCAATCTTATAGATAACTGAAAATCTCTTGATCTCAGGGCTCATTTTATTTCACCTGAATCAGAACTGGATCTGTCTGAACAGCTATTGGCAATTGCTTAACAATGCAGCACCTAAGACAGCAATACCAGTTGGGGCACATAAGAAGCAAGCCAAAAAGCTTAAAAGGAAAACCTAGAAAATGAGATGTTTATTAGGGTGAAAAACACTGAAATATTCCTGGGAATCTAGATGGCCTTATGCATGCTCAGAAAAGTAGAGAAGGCCTTCATCTTTCATTTTCTTGAAAACTTTCAGACTATTCAAATGAGACTTATAAACTGCCTCCTAGAGTATTGAAGGTAACTGCCAACACACAGACACATAAGACACCTTGGCAAAGGGAGGGGGGACATAGCAAAAGCTGGCATTTAAGAAATCCCTCTCCAATCATTAACTGGCCACTAAGACAACTGAGAAGACTTCAGTAGTCATAGAAGACAAAATTAGCCTAGGAAAAGTCAAAAATAAGACACAGAATGTCACTAAACAAACAGAACCACCAACAATACGCCCTGCAGATGGGGAAGAAATCTAATGATCAGAGTTACTGCATTATATCATTTTAAAATTCCAAGACTTCAACTGAAACATAGGGACATAAGCAAAGAAACAGAAAGGAATACAGCATACATAGGGAAAAACAAATGTCAATACAAACAGCCTCTGAGGAAGCCCAGACACTGAACTTACCAGACTAGACTAAGATGTTAAATAAGCTATTTTATGTACATTCACAAAATTTTTAAAAATACAAGAGCATGTAAGTGGTATGGAATGAATATTTGTTCCCATTCCTGGGACATGTAAATACTATTTACCTTGAGAGGCATGCATCTCTGTTCGGGGGAGTTTAGGAGAGAGAGGAGCAACATCAGATAGAGGTTGCTCAGAAGGTCGCTTGGTGGTTTGTTTTTTGGCTATGTCCTCTTCAACTGTTGTCAAAAAAGTGTCAGTTATAAAAAAAATATATACAGAATTTTCATACCATTGGAATAACACAGCTATTTCTAACGCATTTTTTTATCTGTGATTTCATCAACTATTTATAAATTATTTCATCTTGTATAAACAACGGGCTCATTTCACCTTAATTATTTCAGTGACAACATATTCAAGAGGTAAAAGCTTTATGTCAGGGTTTTATATATTCTAAGGCAATTACATATTTGTAGAGGTCTCAGGACGCAGGGAGGCAACCAATTATAATGTGCCTCAAAATTGTTCCCATGAGTAAGAAAAGTTCAGAATTCGGAGGAGTTAAGGAGAAGACAGGATAAAAACAACAGCCCATTCAATAGGCAAAAATCTTGGCTTAAGGCTACCATTATGACCATTCTACTGGTTATTTCTCATTCAACCAAATGCATTTCTAGCTGAAGGACCACTCTTTAAGGCATGATCCTACAAGCAAAGACAATTTGAATGATCAATTACACTCTAAATATTCATCGATATCTTGATTTTACCTCAAACCCTAAGGTAAAAGAAAGTATGAGAGAAATCTTCAAAGTCTGATAATAGACCTCAAGAGTGAACAAGCAAAGTCAAACTTCACCTCTTTCTAAATGGTTGGGGGCCAAGGCATGCCTCTCAAAATCACCTAATGAGCAACCTGTAGCCATGCAATTATTGAATGACTTCTAACAAATCTAAGACAGCTATTACCACTTGATTTTATTTTTATCGACTAAAAATAGAACCAACGGACAAAACATATTTTCTTTAATGACACATATTTCTACTACTAGATTATTTCAAATAAAAGAAATAATTGACATTTTCATACCCATTTAATGATATAGAAATTTTGAATAGAGAATTCTGTATATATATTTGTTTCCTCAGAATCTTAGCAAAATTACAAAAAGTCCTTTCTTTCACTTGTAATGCTTTCCGTATGCAAAATTTATGAAACTGGTGTATAGTCTACTATCCGGTGCTGATACAAACATAAGGTTTACTCTTGATTTCTGCTTCTGGGTTTTATAATACGTTACAGCTTAAATCTGTTGCTACAGAGATAACTAAAAACTCAACATTATTTTCAAACTCCCATTTAAAAAGTCGTCATGGAGAGGCACTTCCAGGGAAATGGATTAAGCATTGCAGAAAATTCATGGGTTTATCAAAATAATAAAAACATTGACAAAATCCACGTTTACAAAACTGTGGATGGTAAATAAAGATTAAAACAATACAAACAGAATTTATGCAGGAAAAAAAGGTTTAACATCAGAAACTATAGTAATTCTGTGGAATTTAAGCTTCCCTAATACCACGCCCTTCATCCGAGCTATACAGCACACTTGAAAACAAATACCTTGGCAAGTATACTGGCTATGAAAACCAACAGCCTATCCATCACTGGAGAGGACAGGATGGGTTTGGAGTTCTCCAACAGCGCAACCCCAAAAAAGTATCACAATTTCAGCAATCTTGCAGATAACAGAAAATCTGTGATATCAGGCCTTGTTTTATTTCACCTGAATCAGAACCAGCTCTCTCTGAGCAGCTATTGGAAATCCTCTGACCTTGCAGCTGCCTGAGGCGGCAGTACCAGTTGGGGCCCAAAAGAAGCTATCCAAAAAGCCTGAAAGGAAAACCTGGAGAATAGATATCCATTCGGGTGAAAAGCACTGAGATATTGCTGGCAATCTAGACGGTCTTATGCATGCTCAGCAACGTAGTGGTGGCCCTCATCTCTCATTTACTTGACGACCTTCATACTCTGCACAAAGCAGACTTGTAAACTGCCTGCTGGAGTTTTGAAGGTGACTCCCAACACACACACACACACACACACACACACACACACACACACACACACAAACCTCCTGGCAAAGGCGGGTACACACACCACTCCCACGCGTTGAAGGAAATCCCTGTCCAATCACTAGCTGGCCACTAAGACAACT